GAAGTGTCTTAAGTCTGCATATGGGCGAATAGATGCTGCATAATCTATCCACTGAATCCGTTTCGTCATTGGCAGTTTCTCCACAAGTTGCTGCAAAAGTACAGGATTGTGCAAATGCTGCACTGCATTTGCTGACTGTAAAAATACTACCAAATTCTCCACTTTAGACGAAAAAGGTACCAAACGTTCCAAATTATTCTCATTAACCGGACGAATCTCACCAATCAACTCTAATTGGCTTTTTATGAGTAACTCCGGGCGTCCATACATAAATTGTAGACGTTCTATGATGCGTTCCACATTGATCGGGTTTATCAGAAGTCCTTTTACTTCTTCCTTCGCCGGTCCCTTCAAGCTCTTTTGCAATCTGAGCAAGTTTTCCAAGTTAGAGTATCCATACGCTGCTGATGATTCTCTAAACATAGTTACAAATACAGGCCAGTCTTCAGCATTTCCTGTAAACTCTGGCAAATCAATTAACTTATACAACGGTGAAGTACGTGGCATACTCATATGTGTTCTATTCTGTTCTTCTCTATCATTTGTTCTGCGACCCCGTGCAGCCAAGTCTACTAGATCGCAACCCCGAAGTCCCACATGCCCCGATACGTTACCATACATGCTGGCTTCAACAAACGATTCATCTGGATAGGGGACTCCACATCTTGTACCAAAACCATAAGCTCCATGAGCAGCTGCACCAGCTCCATACGAGACGCCATACACGCCTCTCTGATTCGGTATACCAGGTTTCACGCCGCCACCAGTTGGCGCCGCTTGCTGCACAGCTTCAGACGAGACGCCATACACGCCTCTCCGCTCATCTTGATTGTCACATAAGTCACCCAGTGTAACTCCTTGACAATCCACGTTGGTCACATATGCAGCTCCATCTCTTCCAGCTTCTGTTTCAACCATGCCGCCTCCAGTACGCGCATCACCTTTGCCAATGCATTTGGCACGATCATCATCATTTGTGTCGAGTTGATGAGAATTGCCAGAACCAGTGCTTCCATTTGCTGATACCACCTCGTGCGTATCCAGTTTCGATGTAGGCGTGACGTTTACTTTTGATGTTGCGCTTCCATGTAAGCCACCAGCATCCATAATAGCAATCATTGGGCCGCCCTTTGCTGCACCAACTAGTCCATCGCCGTCGCAAACTGCATTCTGCGAAGCTTGAAGTTCTTCCAGTATGCCCTTCTGTTCCGCTTGAGTATTCTGCATCGTTGACACTTGCATAGTTAATTGCTTAATTTGCTCTAATAAGCTTTTAACCAAATCATTATTCATATTGTTATCTTTCTCTTTATTAATAACAATATCATTATTATTTGCATCCATTTCAAATAATTCATCTAACTTGTCGTTTGTCTTCTTATTTTCTTTCTTCTGCTTTTTTGCGCTTCTTAAAACCGACATCTTGCTTCAGCTATGTACTCAAAGCGTCGAAAAAACACCAATACAGACATACATGCACGTATGTATGTGTCACTGTATTGTGCCGAATTTCACAATTCCATGTAATTGCGATCCATATATTCCAATAGCGACGGCAGATAAAATAAGACTTTGAGCCAATACAGACACACATATACTGTAAGGTGGCCTTTTTGCCCACCTTACATATTGCATTCTAGTTGTCGAGTTTACTGGAGCTTGTAGTGAGTAAGTTAGTAGTAAGTTATATTTGTAGTAAGTAAGTTGGTTAGTGAGGTATATTCGTAGCATGTAAGATAGTGAAAGGAAATGAATTGGATTATAGTCATTAAGTTTATATCTGTAGTTTTGTAGCCATTAAGTTTACAATCTGGAGTCATTGATTATTTTGCTAGATAGTAAGTAGGCTAAGTGTTAGATAGTTAAGTAGATATAGGTGTCATAGTCGTTAGCTTTAGATAGTAGGCAAAATTCAAATTAGTGGGCGGGCACGCGATCAGCAATGCAACCATGCGACTCGAAAGCTCACGGTGGTGAATTGCATTGCTGGTCGCGTGGTAAAATCTGCACAGCGGCAGAAGAGGCTCGAAAGCTGCGTGCAGGTTTTAATTGGTTTTGAGCACTCAACGCGAACGGTCGGCGTTAAAGAAAATAATAAACGGATAGGCGAGGGGTAGGAAACACGAGGTAATATGGAATAAAATGTTAACGTATTTAGAAATGATTGTGTTCTCATTCGTAGTTGATTTGGTAATAATAACCCACCAATAATCTTAACATTACTAACCGGTGGTTAGCACGAGGGCAATCCTGTGCGCCAGACGGCCAAAACTCTGGCACACAAAACCGCGTGGTCTGGAGTGAACGCCGGCGTCAACGCTGGGCGTTCCTCGATCTGCGGTCCACCATTTGTAGTAGAATAGCCCCACTAACATACCGCAATACGCCTTTGTAGCCCCGACCCCAGCAATCTGGAGTGCGTTTAGCCGCGCCACTCGATCGCTGCAGCCATCCCACGTGCAAACGTGTGGGGGCGTGGTCGGCGAGTTCGGGCTGAGTGGCCATTTAATACGTAATAACTTCCCCATCCTCTCCCGTTTCTCTAACTCGTAGTCCCGTAGTAATTTACAAATGTCTTGTAAGTTGTGGCCCTGGGCAGACTGAAGCTCTGACCCCGGCTGGAAAATACTAACTTTACAAGTGGCGCCCGAGCAGGGACCTGCGGGGCTAGAGAGAGTGTGGTATACGGGCGGCGTAAAATCCCGCCGGCATACCCAAATAGAGGTTATGGTAAAATTGTTGGTGACGGTTAATGTGGACAGAGTAGTGGGCATGTGAAAGTGAATAAAAGGAGGGAAACTAAGAACATTCGCGAAAAGCGTGAAAATTTAAAGCGAATATGCCTTACGACGGCCACGGGGTCGGGGCAAAAATTTCGAGAAGTGTCAAGTGAAAAGAAGAAAAGTACAGTGCGCGCGCAAATATTACGCAGAAGCGTAAATCGAATACGCATATGCATAAGCATATGCACGCGCGGGGGCAGCGTCGCGAACATTGCCGAAATCCAGCGAGAGAGAAGAGAGGCGGCCGAAGAGAGGTGGTAAGAGTGTAAAACGAGAGTAAGTGAAAGGGAAGTTAAATTGTGAAGGGTATTAGCGCACGCACATATAAGCGTGCATAGATATGTGTATGTATGTATGTGTATATATATGTGTACATATATATATGTGCGCATTTGTCTATGCGCGCATTACAAGATATTCACCACTAATTTTTACATGCACATATATATATACATATACATGTGCGCTTTATTAAACGTTTTGCTATTCACTCTCTCTATGACAATTTTATATGCGTGTATGAATAGTGAAGGGTACTTGGCGAGAGAGTGAAGAATTTTGTGCATAGGCGAAAGGGCAAGCATGCATGTGTATATATGCATAGGTGCAAGCGAGAAGGCCAGTGCAAATGTATAAATATGTATGCGTGAATAGATCAAGAGAGTGAGAGAGCAATCGGTTAAGCGTATGTGTGTAATTATGCGCGTATGACACTGGGCTATTTTTGTTGTATGCTTGCGCATGCGGGTGCGTGTATGTGTGTGATTGTGCGCATATGACACTGAGTGAATTTTGACATAGATGAGCTTGTGCGTGAAAGAGAATGCATGTGTGATTAAGCGCATATGACACGAGGCTAATAGTTGAAAATGAGAGTGGACAGTGGGCCGAAGCCGATATAAAATAAAGTGAATTGTGAACAAATAATAAGCGAGACTTAAATCAATAATAATAAATAAATAAATAAATATTAAATGAATAAAAATAAATAAATATCAAATAAATAAAATTTATAAATAAATAAAATTTATAAATAAATAAAATTTATAAATAAATAAAATTTATAAATAAATAAAATTTATAAATAAATAAAATTTATAAATAAATAAAATTTATAAATAAATAAAATTTATAAATAAATAAAAATCTGTAAATAAATAAAATTTATAAATAAATAAAAATTATAAATAAATAAAATTTATAAATAAATAAAATTTATAAATAAATAAAAGTTGTTAATAAATGAAAATTATAAAAATGAACAAATGAATAAATAAATATAAATTGGTAATAGTCAATAACAGGTAAATAAATAAATAATTCATGATTATACAATAAATAAATGGGATAAGGTTAGAGTGCATGACAATCGGGTCGGTGAGAAGTGAAATGAAGAGAGACGAAACCCAGTGGGGTCAAAGTAGGTCATGAAGTGAAATGAAACGAAGTCAGTTGAACTAGGCGTAAAGAGGAACAAGGTGAAGTAGATGAGAAAAGGTAGAACGAAATAAGCGGATAGGAAATAAAAGAAATCGGGAAAACGGAAAGCGAAAGATAAGAAAAAAAAAGGGGAATAAATGAATATAATTAAAACAAAAGTAAAGAAAACGAAATAAAACGAAGTATATTAAGATAAATAAGGAGAAATAAAATAAAATAGATTAAGAGAAATAAAGAAGAATAAAATGAAATAGATTAAGAGAAATAAAGAAAACGAAATAAGAATAAAATAGATTAAGAGAAATAAAGAAAACGAAACGAAAAAAAAGGAAATAAAGAAAAGCGAGATAAAGCAAGAGAGATTAAGAATAATAAAGAAAGCAAAATAAAGATAAAAGCGAACCGAGAAAGGCAAAGAAAGAGAAATACAGTGAATTGAGAAAAATAAAGAAAAGAAATAAAAGGAAGTACATTAAGAAGAAGAAGATAAGAGAGAGTAAAATAGATTAAGACGAATAAAGAAAAGTAAACCAAAACTAGAATAAATGTAACATAAAATAGATTAAGACAAACAGAATTGTATAACATAAGGAAATTTGAAAAAAAAAAAAAAGAAAAAAATATAAATGAATATATAATAATAAAGAAAGGTTAAAAAAAAAAAAAAAAAAAAAAAAAAGGAGGGAAAAAAAAAAGGAGAAAAGAAAAGGAAAAAAAAGGAGAGAGAGGAAAAAAAAGGGGGAAGAATAAAGAAAGAAAAGAAAATTTTAGTAAATAATGGAAGGAGCAACACCCCACATTTCGGGATTAAGCGTCGGCTGGGTTTACCAGCGCTGCAAAGAGGAACTGATAGCGGTTGCACGAGATCTCGGCCTTGACGACGAGGGCCGCGTGGAAGATTTAAGAAAGAGATTGTCATCCTACATCCAGGGCGGTGGCTATTCGGCGGAAGTCAAAGGGCGACTGACTGAATGGGAAGCACGTTTCTCTTCGGGAGGCGCGATGTCGAGCATGGGCAGCCGCGCATACCAAAAGTCAGAGCCCGACCTACGAAAGATCCAGGAGAGCGGTTCCGCTTCGACGGCGCCGCTGAGGCTTAGCGTACCGACGGCGAGCAGCATGGCTGGGAGCCGGAAGGACGAAAAGTCGAAGGGATCTGGCAATGGAGGCGAGATGAGTGTTGAGCGTCGGACTCCAGTGTTCTCACCGCCACCAGAGAGGCACCCGCCATGGAATATCGCCGAGCAAGTCAGGAAGTGGGGAATGAAGTATGACGGTCGATCGGATCCCCTCGGTTTCATCGAGATCCTGGAAGAGCGAGCCATAACTTATGGGATCGAGTTGGACAGGATGCCGAGGGCACTAAGCGAGGTGTTGGTAGACAAGGCGGCCAAGTGGTTCCTGACCAGTGGGCTAAGAGATGTGCCCTGGTTGGAATTTAAGAAGGAGTTCTTGGACTTCTTCTTACCTCCCCAATACCTCGAGCGTTTGGAGGACCAAATCCGGGCGCGCCGGCAACGGGAGGGCGAACCTTTCAAGGACTACTTGATTGAGCTACGCCTCCTGATGCGACAGGCTAGGTACAGCCCGGCCCAAGAGTTGAACAGGGCTTACGAGAACGCATCCCCGGAATACAGACTGTACGTACGGAGGCACGATTTCTCGTCTCTAACGCAGCTGACCCAGATGGCCGCGGAGTTCGAGAACGTGAGGAGTCAACAGAGAGAACAAGGAAGGAAGGCTACGGTGGAGACCGGTTGGCCCAAGCCAGTGGAGGCGCGGCAGAATAATCCTTTCCGCGCAAAGACATCTGTTCCCCGATCTGGAGGACAAGTTGAAGGGCGGACGGAGACGCCGGTGGCGACGCAGTCGGCGGAGGCAACTAGCCGGATGATGTCACAGGATGCTGGACCCAGGCCAAGTCGAGTTTGTTATCGATGCGCACAACCTGGACACTTCGCGCGAGAATGTCGTAACGCGCCAGTGTTGTTCTGCTGGCGTTGCGGGCAGCAAGGCCGGACTGCGAGGGAGTGCTGCGAACGAGACAGCTCGGGAAACGGCCAAGGGCGCCCTCCAAGAGAGCGGAGCGGCGCCAATTAAAAACGGAAGATGAGGAGAGGAACCCGCTCCGAGTAAAGGAGTGGAAGATCGTAGCGTCGGTAACGGTCGGGGGTCAAAGGATGACTGCCACGATCGACACTGGAGCTACACGCAGTTTTGTGAGTGAGGACTGCGTGCGCCGACGGACGATAGGAGGCGAGCGTCGCCAAGTTGAGTCGCGGATCAGGTTGGCCGATGGATCAGCACTAAACGTCACGGAGATGGTGAGGACGGATGTGAGCCTGGCAGGCAAAACGGCGGAAGCAAACTTGCTAATAATGCCGACCATGCTAGACCATGTCATCCTCGGCATGGACTTCCTGTGCGCCATTGGTACTACGGTGCGTTGCGGCAACGCGGAGCTCGAGATGAGGATGATAGACGACGTGGGAGATGGCGCATCGCCACCAAATGGACAGCGAGTGGAGCAAGGCAACAGGCGTCTTGGAGAGCAACGCCAGTTCGTCGAAGGAGTGAAGGAGTTGGGCTCGGAGGCGTCGCACGAGGCCGCAACGACAAAAGAGGGCTCAAAGTCGGCAATCGCAGTGTCAACGATCGGCGTCCAGCAAGCGTCGAGCCAAGGCACACTGCCCGACGAGAACAGAGGCAAGAGGGAAGGAATGGAAAAGGGAACGCCGAAGGAGAGACTTAGAGGGCGTCTCCCAGCGACAAGGAGAGACAGAAAGGAAAGAAACGAGCTAATTGAAGACAAAAGGGGAGCTGAGCCTCCCGCGAGAGTTGTAAAACAGAGCGAGGACTTGAGGAGCGGACCCGAGGAGTGGTCGCCGGAGTTCAAATCAGTCGAATTAGAGAAGGAAGGTGAGCCCGAGGGCGGCCCACCGACAGGAGAAGCAGCAGAGAGCGAATACGGAGGATATAAACGATCCGCGCCCAATAGTAAGGAGTGGCCGGATGAGTTAGAGACGAGAGAAGCAACGGAGAGCGAGTACGGAGGATATGAACGATCCGCGCCCAATAGTAAGGAGTGGCCGGATGATTTAGAGAAAGAACTGCAGGAGTTCCTCGAGGCAGAGTTGGCATTGTTCGAGGACCTCGAGGGCGTGACGCACATCGCTGAGCATAGCATCCGGATGAAGGACGACAAGCCTTTGAAGCAAAGGTACTACCCTAAAAATCCGGCTATGCAAAAGGTGATCAATGAACAGGTGGACGAGCTGCTTCAAGCTGGAGCGATTGAACCGTCGAAGAGCCCACACAGCGCACCCATAGTCTTAGTCAAGAAAAAGACTGGGGATTGGCGCATGTGCGTAGATTATCGACAGCTCAACGCCAACTCAGTCCCGGACGCGTATCCCGTTCCACGGATTCTTCACATTTTGGAGAAACTACGACACGCGCGATTTATATCTACGCTGGATCTAAAGAGCGGTTACTGGCAGATCCCAATGGCGGCGGATAGCAGGGAATACACGGCGTTTACCGTGCCAGGCAGAGGATTGTTCCAATGGCGAGTGATGCCGTTCGGTCTGCATTCGGCGGGAGCGACATTCCAGAGGGCATTGGACACAGTCATCGGACCCGACATGGAGCCTCACGCGTTTGCATATCTCGACGATATAGTAGTCATCGGAGCGACGAAGGAGCAACACGTGGCCAACCTGAAGGAAGTTTTCCGGCGGTTGCGAGCGGCCAATCTAAGACTCAACAGAAGGAAATGCAGTTTCTTTCGGGAGAAGTTGGCGTACCTTGGCCATGTGATAAGCGGAGAGGGGATTTGCACTGATCCCGCGAAGGTCGAGGCGATCCAGAGCCTCCCATCGCCTTCGAATCTCAAGGAGCTGCGGCAATGCCTAGGGAATGGCATCATGGTATCGACGCTTTGTACCAAACTTCGCGTCACTGGTACAACCGATGACGAAGCTGTTAAAGAAGGGCCAGAAGTGGATCTGGAGTGAGGAGCAGGAAGAGGCGTTGCAGAAACTCAAGGAGAGTTTAACGACCGCGCCTGTTCTGGCCTGTCCCGACTTCTCGGCCAAATTTGTGCTGCAGACCGACGCCAGCGACTACGGCCTCGGCGCAGTGCTGACGCAAGAAGTCGAGGGGCAGGAGCGAGTGATAGCATACGCCAGCCGGAAGTTACTGAAGGCGGAGCTAAACTACTCGGCAACGGAGAAGGAGTGCCTCGCAATCGTATGGGCGATCCGAAAGATGCGATGCTACCTGGAGGGTTACAGATTCGACGTCGTCACGGATCATCTAGCGCTGAAATGGCTCAACTCCATAGAAAGTCCCACGGGCCGGATCGCTCGTTGGGCGCTAGAGTTGCAGCAATATCAGTTCGACATACGTTATCGCCGAGGGAGCTTAAACGTAGTGGCCGACGCATTGTCCCGGCAGCCCATGGACAGTTGCGAGCAGGCCGTGGAAGAAAATCCTCCTTGCTGGTGGATAGCAAGGATGCGTGAAAGGATTGCAAAGGAGCCTGAGAAGTTCCAGGACTATGTGGAAGAAAATGGGCAGTTGTATCGGAATATAGGCCATCGGATAGACGAGGAAGATTTCATCCCATGGAAGCTCTGCGTCCCGAGCAGTTTGAGGGGCAGAGTGATGAGGGAGTGCCACGACGCTCCCACGGCCGGACATCAAGGAGTGAGGAAGACGGCGGCACGACTTGCGCAAAGGTACTATTGGCCGGGCATGTTCAGAGATGCCGCCAAATACGTGAAGTGTTGCGAGACGTGCCAAAGATTTAAATGCGTGCAACAAAAGCCAGCCGGGCATATGCTCACCAGACAGGTGGCGGAGCCAATGGCGGTCTTGTGCGCAGACTTCGTGGGACCTTTACCTCGTTCCAAACGTGGGAACACAATGTTGTTGGTGTTCCACGACGCTTTTGCCAAATGGGTGGAGCTGGTGCCGTTGAGGAAAGCGACTACCGCTCAGCTGCAACTGGCGTTCCGGGAACGCATAATCAGCCGATTTGGAGTGCCCAGGACGTTCGTTTGCGACAACGGCGTACAATTCACAAGCAGAGGTTTCAAGGCGTTTATGGAATCCTTGGGGGTGACACTCCAGCACACAGCGCCTTATACACCGCAGGAGAACCCGACGGAGAGAACAAATCGCACGGTGAAGACTATGATAGCTCAGTACATCGAAGGCCACCAGAGCTCATGGGACGAGCTGTTGCCGGAGATAACGCTAGCAGTCAACTCGAGCGTGGCCGACTCCACGGGCTTCACTCCAGCGTTTCTGATGTTAGGGCGGGAGCCACGCCTACCCGCCGCTTTGTACGATGAAGTCACTCCCGGTTCGGCGACTAGAGAGACCCAGCCCGAGGCCAAAGGAGTCAAAATGAAGGAAATATTTGACATAGTGCGTAGTAACTTGCAGCGAGCATCAAAGGATCAAGGCAGGCACTACAACTTGAGACGGCGTGACTGGAGACCAGCGTTAGGTTCGGCGGTGCTGTCCCCCAACGTGGTGCGCCTGACGAAGGAGGGCGAACGCAAGAGGAGGGTGGCCAACATTGCGCAGTTGAAGCCATTCCATCAAGAGGATGAAGAAAGCGACACGATCCCGGAAACCGAGACCGAGGAAACGGGGGATGTTCCTTCACGGTGACCGTCAACTTGTCGGGGGGCGTGATGGTTGCCTTGTCGAAGTAAGGGGGGGGTGTAAGGTGGCCTTTTTGCCCACCTTACATATTGCATTCTAGTTGTCGAGTTTACTGGAGCTTGTAGTGAGTAAGTTAGTAGTAAGTTATATTTGTAGTAAGTAAGTTGGTTAGTGAGGTATATTCGTAGCATGTAAGATAGTGAAAGGAAATGAATTGGATTATAGTCATTAAGTTTATATCTGTAGTTTTGTAGCCATTAAGTTTACAATCTGGAGTCATTGATTATTTTGCTAGATAGTAAGTAGGCTAAGTGTTAGATAGTTAAGTAGATATAGGTGTCATAGTCGTTAGCTTTAGATAGTAGGCAAAATTCAAATTAGTGGGCGGGCACGCGATCAGCAATGCAACCATGCGACTCGAAAGCTCACGGTGGTGAATTGCATTGCTGGTCGCGTGGTAAAATCTGCACGGCGGCAGAAGAGGCTCGAAAGCTGCGTGCAGTTTTTAATTGGTTTTGAGCACTCAACGCGAACGGTCGGCGTTAAAGAAAATAATAAACGGATAGGCGAGGGGTAGGAAACACGAGGTAATATGGAATAAAATGTTAACGTATTTAGAAATGATTGTGTTCTCATTCGTAGTTGATTTGGTAATAATAACCCACCAATAATCTTAACATTACTAACCGGTGGTTAGCACGAGGGGCAATCCTGTGCGCCAGACGGCCAAAACTCTGGCACACAAAACCGCGTGGTCTGGAGTGAACGCCGGCGTCAACGCTGGGCGTTCCTCGATCTGCGGTCCACCATTTGTAGTAGAATAGCCCCACTAACATACCGCAATACGCCTTTGTAGCCCCGACCCCAGCAATCTGGAGTGCGTTTAGCCGCGCCACTCGATCGCTGCAGCCATCCCACGTGCAAACGTGTGGGGGCGTGGTCGGCGAGTTCGGGCTGAGTGGCCATTTAATACGTAATAACTTCCCCATCCTCTCCCGTTTCTCTAACTCGTAGTCCCGTAGTAATTTACAAATGTCTTGTAAGTTGTGGCCCTGGGCAGACTGAAGCTCTGACCCCGGCTGGAAAATACTAACTTTACAATACTTATGTGTGTATCACTGCATTGCTCCCAATATCACAATTCCATGTAATTGTGATTCACATCCAAAAAACGGCAACATATAAAAATAAAACTGTTGCTACTCTTGCTAGCAAGTAATTTCATTTTATTACATCACGAAAATAGAATAAGTTTTAGTCGTTTTCTTTAGTTTTTCCATTGGTTTATTCCATTTGTCCATAGTTATATTCAATATTTCACGCATTAATCTTATTTAAACATACTTAAATGATAAAACAATATAAAGTATAAAACTGCAAGTAAATTTATTTTTATGTGTTGTGCTGCCGTTCTTCAGCTCTTTCTTACGACTAACTGATCGACATATCGAAGCTTGAGACCAGGGCTGCGACCTATCGATAACTTACAGGGGTGCAATAGATATCTAATTCGAAATTAACGTTTGATATGATTTAATTCACAACATCCGCCCTAATTGACTCGAAGATCTCCTTTTTGCTCGCTAACTCATCTAGGTCACGAATCTCAATTTGAGCCGATTCGGTTAGTGGTTTAACTACCGCTCGGTCACCCAAGGCCTTGCCTACAGCTTCGTGAAGGGCACTATGTTCGGCTTTCTGCTCAGTTGCAACACAAGGTCCCCCTTAGCTGTCTTCCTAATGCCTTGAACGTTGCCGCTCAGATGCTTTAGATTTGATGCAACCACCCACGCCTGAAATCGCGATTCCGTCACTTCTGGGTCGTTTTTGCATGGGCTTGTCTGTCGACCTGCCTGAATTGAATTTTCAGCTGTAGCCCGTAGAGCCATTGGTTCCTTTGGGTTCGCTGTGCCTTTATTGGGCCTCGGCTTTTTTGAGGGTGCTTTCCTCTGATCGGTGGCAACTTCCCTCGACCGCTTGGGCGTATTGCTACCTGAGATCGCACTAGTGCTCGTTTTCTCCACTACTTTCTGGAGCGGCATGGTCTGCACCTCGCAGTTTTTAACCTCGCAGTTTTTAACCGCAGTTTCGGCCGTCTTATGGAGATTGACCAGCCTAGCCAGCTCCTCTCTCATTAGGGCATTAATATGCCGCTGACCCCCAAATAAGGCAGTCAAGCCCTCTAGCGTATCTCCTATTTGGGCTAACGCTTCTTTTAGTGAGTTGGGTGCCTGGCAGTCAGCCACTGGAGACTGATTAAAGCTCGACGGCTGCGGCAGCGCCCTCTGTTGTTGCCGCGGTGATCGCTGCAACGAGGAACGACGCGCGAAAGCTTGCAGCTCCGATTACAACTACGTGAAGCCTGTAGTGGGCAATGGCTACTAATATAATTTGAGTTTACAGACCGCAGTATCTTAGCTTAACTACAGCAAGAGCCCGAAAGTATGCACTACTTTTAGTAACTGCGTCTTCACTCCAGATGTTAGGTTGCTGTCTTCGCTAAGACTTAGCAACTCACCAAAGTTAGTGAGCAGCTGATTGTCCGCTGCAATTTCCAGCACTACTAACAGCTTTTAGAGTGAATGCACCTGATTTTTATTAATTGCGCAAGTGTGACGCCTAGTGACAAAACTTTTCGCGCTTGAAAAAGAAAAGGAAAGAGAAAAGCCCTGACGCCAAAACAATGAGGCTATTGCCCACTGGGTTCTACCACCGGGGTATCCAACGAACCGCCGCGCAGTAAGTCTCTGGTAGCTTTCGAGGTCGCTGGATACGTTGCGCCCACAGCATACACGTTTTCTTAAGATATTTCCACTTTCGAAGGGAAAAACTCGGAAAAACTCGGAAAAACTCGGAACAAGCTATAGTCAACGATGGATCACAATAACATCGACCGCACTCCAGGAAAACGCAACTCGAACTCCCAGTAAATGTTTGTTTATGTGTGTGTGTGTGTTTGCGTGTGTGTGTATGTATCGTGTGTGTGTATGTATGCGTGTGTGTGCGTGCGTGCGTGTGTGTGCGTGCGTGCGTGTGTGTGTGTGCGTGTGTACGTGTTTCTTGTGTAAGCTGAAAGACGCGAAAAATTATTGAAATAGCTATTGCTCCAAGGGTTCAGAGGATCTCGTAGTCGAGCAGTCTCGACTAGAGCTTCCTTACTTATTTATTTATTTCTTAAAGCTATTGACAAAAACAAGTAAGAAGACTCTAGTCGAGACTGCTCGACTAGGAGATACCCTGAACCCTCTAATCTAATATTCAAATCACTCTGCACATCTTTTCGACACACATGCATACACACGCACGTATTAGAAAGCGCTCTGCTAACTGCGCAGTAAGCAGCGACTGCGCTTGGGCCGCGCTGTAGTGTGGGCAACATTATAAGAATTTATTTGTTGAATAATTTAATTTCTAGACATACAATCTTAATGAAACTTTCATACGTCTTTGACAAAGGTGATGGTGAGGGAGTGGTTATAGAGGTGGGGGGTAAATTACAACAAAAATCGAAATTGTATAAAATATATATAAGTCTACATTAAAAATTTGGAAGCTCTAGCTCTAAAGGTGTAGGAGATATAATTAAATAACTAGCTTTCGATAATGTTTTTAGTCGATAATAAAATATCGAGAATAGATATCGATATTTAGAGAAAAACTTGATATGCGCGTGATATACACGGACCTAGGAAAAAAATTTCAAGTCTCTAGCTCTTATATCTTCTGAGATCGACGCGTTCATACATACGGACGGACGGACGGACGGACAGACAGACGGACAGGGCCAAATCGACTCAGCTCGTCGCCCTGATCAAGAATATGTATACTTTGTGGGGTCTGCCACGCCTCCTTCTGCCTGTTACATACTTTTAACAAAACCATTATACCCTGATTTCCCGTTTTCGGGTATAAAAAGCCTATACAAAGTACAGGGTATAATTTCAACAGTAACACCATCCCGATGGGGGTATTTTATTTGCCAGTCCGGCCGGCTATGCCCACGCGTCACAGCCAAATATGGTCAGTGATACTATTGAAGCTATGAAAAGAAAGTGTTAGTAAGAAAACTTAAAAAAAATATATATTAAATGTAGATTTATTAACTATATCTAACATAATAATTAAAATAATTCTTAAAATACTGTAGTATGTTGTATATCATATAAGCATATGCTCACAGTATTGTAGTGTATACAATATATGAAGTTGACATATGCCCAAAATATAAGTAAGAGTATCATGCTCACAACATAGCAACACTTTGTTGCTTTATTTATATATTATTCAGAGAGTTCTCAGTGAGAGTTAACAGACGTGTTTACTATTGTGCTCTTCAATTATTCTTGTTTTCTTAGTTAATTATTTTTATTAAATTTCACATAATTGCGGTTCGGTTGTATACAGCAAATATCTATATTATCCTGTGCAAGGTTTGATCCGTTGTTCACTGCGTTTTTAATAATTTGCTTTTTTAATTTGTGAAGCTTTGTGTGCAGTGTCGGTTCATTAGTTTCATTATTTGCATTTTTGCTTTAGTGTTTCTATTTGTTGGCGCTCTCCCCAGTTCACTCTTTCTAAGTTTGTGTGAGTGTGTGCATAAGTTGCTCTCACTATCTACGGTTGTTGTATTTGCCTCTCTTGAATCTTTGATTTTTGTGGTGTGCAAGTATACTCTCTCGCTGAGGACTTTTGATCTGCTCCGTAACGGCTGTTTTTTGTTGTTGACTCGCTCTCTCAACATATATTTTCGTTGCGCTCTGTAACGGCTGTTTGTTGTTGGACTCGCTCTCAACACATTTATACCTCTCTTTGTTGTGACATTTCTGTTTACATTCAGTAATTTTGTGATCTATCCCGATTGCCAATATGAGTTGCTGCAAAAAAAGCTTGCACTTTCAAGCAAACAGTTGATTCTGCACAAGCGCAATTTATAAGTTGCTGGCTGTGTGATAACATGATGCATACTAAGTGTGCAGGTCTTACTGGGCGTGAATATGACAAGATTATGTCTACTACTAAAGCTGGTAGTGGAGGCATACGCTGGTCTTGTCCGATTTGTTTGGAAAAACAAATAAACTTTTCTAAAATGTATAGTGCTGTGAGGTCTCAGTTTTTAAAACTGAAGAAGATTTCTATGCAGTTGACCAGTGACATGGCTGCTGCTGAGGTAATCTTAAATCAGTACGGCTTTGAAAGTCCTCTCTCTCAATTGGATACTCCTTTGTTGTCGGTAACTCCTTCTGTAATAGTACCGTCACCTAATTCGCTTG